CTGTATCTTGGGAGTAAATAACTTTTTTGATTTTATAGGCTCCTAGACAGAAGGCAATTGCCTTGTCACAGATGAGACTTTGGACTTTCAATGTTGGAACAAGTTAAAACTTTGGGGGACTACTGGAACGTCCTGATTATATTTAGCAACATGAGGAGGACAGGAGATTTGGTAGGGCCAGGGGTGGAATATATAGTTTGTATATCTGTCCCCATCCAAATCTCATGTTGAGATGGAATTCCCTATGTTGGAGGTGGAGCCTGGTGGGAGGTGTTTAGGTATTGGGGGCAGATCTCTCATGGCTTACTGCTCTTATGAAACAGTGAATACTCACAAGATCTGGTGTTTAAGTGTGTGGTACCTCCCCCACTGACTCTCTCTTGCTCCTGCTCTTGCCATGTGAAGTGCCTGCTCCCACGTAATCTTTCAACATGAGTAAAAGCTCCCTAAGGCCTCTCCAGAAGCTAAGGAAATGCCAGTGCCATGCTTATACAGCCTGCAGTACTGTGAGCCAATTACAAGAAATTACCCAGTCTTAGGTATTTACTGCAACACAAGAATGGACTAATACACAAATGTTGAAAAACAACATTGCCAGAAAATCTGCTGTAAGAAATATTAAAGTTTTTCAAACAGAAAAGAAAATGACACAAGATGGAAACCCAGATGTACAACATAAAGGATACAGTGCATTTAAAATAGATTTCATTTTATTATTTAAATTTTTTTTTAAAGATGAGAGAGTAACATCATAGAAAATGAAGGAATAGGAAGCTTCAAGGGTAGTACCTCTACTGAACCAGGAAAAAATTGTCAGAGTCAACTATTTCAAAACTCTGGAACCTTATTGGACAATTACAGCAACTAGGAATGTGCCTGCTGAAGGGAGAGACTGCTGAAACTCAGTAAGAGAACGGTATGCACAAAACAGCTACCATCCCTCATCATTCAGCCCCACCTTGGCAATGGGAACACCAATCAGCTCATATTACTGGACTAGCTACCTGGTGCTAAAATCAGCAGTAAGGAACATGACTTCCAAAAATTGGCGGTTATGCATTTTGGCCATTTTGGCATTTTGGCATTTCCCCGGCCTTTGTTTTGGCTGCCTCAGGCTGTAGTGGCTTTGCCAGTAGTGGCTATTTCAAGAAGGCACATATATCTTTGGTTGGTTTTTTTGATCCAGGCATTTAGGAAGACCTCTGAGAGACCCTTGTCTGACCACGGATATGATGAAAAAGAAACATGTCTGACCATATACAAGAAGGAATAAAGACTTTTCAAAAATAGTCTGGGGAAGTCACTAAATAGGTGACTACAGCACCTACTATGCACAAATGAGAACTCCCTGAGGAGTAGGACAATCTCATTTCTACTTACTACAATAGAGTATTGAAAATGTTCAGTTTTCAACAAAAAGTTACAAAGCCTTCAAAGAAACAAGAAAGGATGGCCCATTCTCAAGATAAAAGAATTTAACAGAAACCATCTCTGAGGAAAACCCCAAATTAGAATTACTAGTTAAGGATGTTAAATGAACTGTCCTAAATATGATTAATAAGCTAAAATAAACCAGGGACAAAAAAAAGAAAATCGGGAGAACAATGTATGAACAGGGAGTGTCAATAAAGGTACAGAAATTATAAAAAGAAACCAAACAGAAATTCTGATGCTGAAAAGTACACTAGATTAAATGAAAAGTTTACTAGAGATGTTCAACAGCAGATTTGGCTAGGCAAATCAGAGACTCAGTAAACATGAAGATAAAACCATTGGAATGATCCAGTTTGAGGAGCAGGGGGAAAAGAATGCAAAAAAAATGAACAGAATTTAAGAGCCTATGGGATACCATCAAACATACCAACATATGTACGACAGGAGTACCAAAAGGAGGAGAGGAAAAAGGCAGAATAATATCAGAAGAAGTAATGGCCAAAAATGACTTTGTAAATGCAACACCAAAGGCACAACCCATGAATAAAAATAGGTGATAAGCTGGATCTCATTAAAATTTAAAACTTCTGCTCTACAAAATGCAACATCAAGAAAATGAGAAGACAAGCTACAGAATAGAGAAAAATATTTGCAAAAGACATGTTTGATAAAGAACTGTTTCAAAAATATATAAAGAACTCTTAAAATTCAACAATTAAAAAGAAAAAACAGCCTGATGAAAAAATGTGCCAAAGGCCTTAAAAGACACCTCACCTCACCTCACCAAAGGCGATAAACATATAGCAAATTAGCATATAAAAAGACACTCCACATCAACTGTCATCAGGAAAATGCAAATTAAGACAACAGAGATACCACTACATACCTATTAGTATGACCAAAATCCAGAAAGCTGACAACTCCAAATGCTGATGAGGATGTGGAGCAACAGGAACCCTCACTAACAGCTGCTGTAAATGCAAAATGGTACAGCAACTCCAGAAGACAGTCTGGCTGCTTCTCACAAGGCTAAATACACTCTTACCATATGATCCAGCAATTACATTCCTTGTATTTGCCGAAAAAAGTTGAAAACTTACGACCACATAAGAATGTGCACATTGGTGCTTATAGCAGCTTTATTCATAATTGCCAAAACTTGAAAGCAACTAAGATGTCCCTCTGTAGGTGAACAGATAAATAAAACTGCACAACATCCAGACAATGGAATATTACTCAATGTTAAAAATAAATGAGCTATTGCACAAAAAAGAATTTCAAAACTTCAAGACCATTATTTTGAACTAATCCAGTCACACAAAAATAAAGAAAAGGGAATTTAAAAAAAAGTTTCATGCCTGTAATCCCAATACCTTGGGAGGCTGAGGCAGGTGGATTGCTTCAACTCAGGAACTTGAGAACAGACTAAGCAATATGGAGAAAGCTCGTATGCACAAAAATTACCTACCGATGGTGGTACATGCCTGTAGTCTTGGCTACTCTGGGGGCTTGGGTGGGAGGATCATCTGAGACCAAAAGGTCAAGGCTGCAGTGAGCTGTGATCGTGCCACTGCACTCCAGCTTGGGTGACAGAGTGAGATCCTGTTTCAAAAAATTTTTTTTCTTAATAAACAAAGCATTTGAGAAATATGGGACTACGTAAAGTAACCAAACCTATGAATTACTGGCATTCTTGAGAAAAAGTAAACAACTTGGAAAATATAACTGAGGGAATAATTCAAAAAGATTTTCCTAATCTTACTAGAGAGGTAGGCATCTAGATATAAGAAGTCTAGGGAAAACCTACAAGAGACTATACAAAACAAACATCGCCAAGGTCTATAGTTACCAGACTGTCCAAGGTCAATGCTAAAGAAAAAATCTTAAAGGCAACTAGAGAAAAATGTCAAATCATGCACAAAGGGAACCCTATGAGACTAAGAGCAAGCCTCTCAGCAGAAACCTTACAAGGCAGGAGAGACTAGGGGCATATTTTCAGCTTTCTTAAAAAGGAGAAAGTCTGGGTCAGGCATAGTGGCTCACATCTGTAATCCCAACACTGTGAGAAGCTGATGTAAAAGGATTGCTTGAACCCAGTAGTTTGTGACCAGCATGAAAAACATAGCAAGACCTCATTTCTCCAAAAAATAAAAATAAAAAGTTAGGTGTAACAGCACACCTGTAGTCCCAGCTACTCGGGAGGCTAAGATGGGAGGATTGCCTGAGCACAGAAGTTTGAGGCTGCAGTGAGCTATAATCGCAACACTGCTCTCTACCTTGGGCAACAGAGTGAGACCCTGCTTCTAAAGAGAAAAAGAAAAAAGAAGAAAGGAAAGAAATTTCAACAAAGAATTTCATATTCCACCAAACTAAGTTTCATATGCAAAAAAAAAATAAAATCTTTTTCCAACCAAGCAAGCACTAAGAAAATTCATTACCACCAGATCAGCCCTACAAGAGATCTTTAATGGAATTCTAAACATGGAAATGAAAGAACAATACCTGCTACCACAAAAACATAATAAAGTACATAGCCCAAAGACCCTATACAGCTTCCATGAAATAGAAACTACAAAGCAAAAAGCTAACAACTTTATGATATGATTGAAACCTCAAATATCAATATTAGCTTTGAATATAAATGATCTAAATGCCCCACTTGAAAGGCAGAGTTGCAAGTTGCATTAAGAAACAAACAAAAACACAAACACAAACAAACAAAACCAAGAACCAACTAACAAGGAAGGTGAAGGACCTCTTCAAGGAGAACTACAAACCACTGCCCAATGAAATCAGAAATGACACAAACAAATGGAAAAACATTCCATGCTCATGGATAGGAAGAATCAATGCCATGAAAATCCATACTGCCCAAAGTAATTTATAGGTTGAATGCTATTTCCACTAATAACATTGACATTCTTCACAGAATTAGGAAAAAAAAAAAAAAACAATTTTAAAATTCTTATTGATAAAAAAGAGCCCAAATTGCCAAGACAATCCTAAGCAAAACGAACAAAGTTGGAGGCATCATGCTACAAGACTTCTAACTATACTACAAGGCTATATTAACCAAAACAGCATGGTACTGGTACAAGAAGAGACACACAAACCAATGGAACAGAATAGAAACCCAGAAATAAGACTGGACACCTACAACCATCTTATCTTCAACAAACCTGACAAAAGCAATGGGATAAGGACTGTCTACTTAACAAATGGTACTGGCAGAACTAGCTAGCTACATGCAGAAAAGTGAACTGGACCCCTTCCTTACACCATATACAAAAAGTGACTCAAGATAAAATAAAGAATTAAAGGTAAAACCCAAAACTATAAAAACTCTAGAAGAAAATCTAGGCAATACTATTCAGGATATAGGCACTGGCAAAGATTTCATGACAAAAGCGCCAAAAGCAATTGCAACAAATGCAAAAATTGACAAATGGAATCTAACTAAACTAAAGAGTTCCTGCACAGAAAAAAACAAACAAACAAACAAAAAAACCCTATCCATCAGAATGAACAACTTAAAGAACAGGAGAAAATTTTGCAATTCATGCATCTGACAAAGGTCTAACACCCAAGATCTACAAGGAACTTAAACAAATTTACAAGAAAAAAACATCCCCATTAAAAAGTAGGCAAAGACCATGAACAGACAATTCTCAAAAGAAGATACACATGCAGCCAACATACATATGAAAAAAAGTTCAACATCATCAGAGAAATGTAAATCCAAATCACAATGAGGTACCATCTCACAACAGTAAGAATAGGTATTACTAAAAATTCAAAAAGTACCAGATGCTGGCATGATTGCAGAGAAAAAGGAATGCTTTTACACTGTTAGTAAAAATGTAAGTTAGTTCAACTATTGAGGAAGACAGTGTGGTGATTCTTCAAAAACCTAGAGGCAGAAATACCGTTTGACCCAGCAATCCCCTCATTACTGGGTATATACCCAAATAAATATAAATCATTTTATTATAAAGATATATGCATGCAAATGTTCACTGTAGCACTATTCACAATAGCAAAGACATGGAATCAATCTAAATGCCCATCAATGACAGACTAGATAAAGAAAATGTGGCACATATACACCATGGAATACCATGAAGCCATAAAAAGGAACAAGACCATGTCTTTTATAGGGACATGGATGTAGCTGAAGCCATTATCCTCAGCAAACTAACCCAGGAACAGAAAACCAAATGCCACATGTTCTCACTTACACATGGGAGCTGAATGATGAGAACACATGGCATACGGTGTGGAACAACACACACTGGAGCCTGTTGGACAGTGGGGAGGCAGGAGGAGGGAAAGCATCAAGAAGAATAGCTAATGGATGCTGAGCTTACTACCTAGGTGATGGGATGATCTGTGCAGCAAGCCACCATGCCACACATTTACCTATGTAACAACCTTCGCATCCTACAAGTGTACCCCTGAACTTAAAATAAAATTTGAAAAAAAAAAAAAGACCCATTCGTCTGCTGTCCTCAAGAGACCCATCTCACACATGTACAATATCCACAGGCTCAAAAGAAATGGTGGGAGAAAGATCTATCACACAAAAGAGCTGGGGTTGCTATTCTTATATCAGATAAACATACTTTAAATCAACAACAATTAAAAACAACAGAGAAATGCATTACCTAATGATAAAGCATCCAGTTAAACAAGACTTAACTCTCCTGTGGCTCACACCTGTAATCCCAGCACTTTGGGAGGCTGAGGCGGGCAGGTCATGAGGTCAAGAGATCAAGACCTTCCTGGCTATGTTCACCGAAACCCTGTCTCTACTAAAATACAAAAAATTAGCCAAGTGTGGTGATGCATGCCTGTAGTCCCAGCTACTCAGTAGGATGAGGCAGAGGAATCTCTTGAGCCCAGGAGGTGGAGGTTGCAGTGAGACAAGATTGTACCACTGCACTCTAGCCTGGTGACAGAGGAAGACTACGTCTCAAAAAAAAAAAAAAAAAAAAAAAAAAAAGGCTTCGCTATCCTAAATATATACACACCCAACACAGAAGCACCCAGATTCGTAAAACAAATACTTCTAGACCTATGAAAAAACATCAGGCAACCACACAATAATAGTAAGGGACTTTGATACCCCATTGACAGCATGGGACAGAGATCATCGAGGCAGAAAACTAACAAAGAATTTTTGGACTTAAGTTTGACACCTGACCAAATGAACCTAATAACCATCTACAGAATACTGTACCCATCAACCACAGAATATACATTCTTCTCGTTTGCACACAGGACACACTCTAAGACAGGCCACATGCTCAGCCATAAGGCAGGTCTCAATAAATTTTTTAAAAAACTGAAATCACTCCAATCATACTGTCAGATCACAGTGAAATAAAAACAGAAATCAATACCAAGATGATCTCTCAAAACCACACAATTTCATGGAAATTAAACAATTTGCTACTGAATGACTTTGGGATAAACAATGAAACTAAGCAGAAATCAAAAAAAATCTTTAAATGAAAACAGAGACACAACATACAAAAATCTATGGGATGCAGCAAAAGCAGTATTAAGAGGAAAGTTCACAGTGCTATATACCTGACTAAAATAGTCAGAAAAATCTTAATGATCTAACATCATACCTAGAAAAATTAGAAAAACAAGAACAAACTAACCTGAAAGCCAGCAGAAAAAAAGAAATAACTAAAAATCAGAGCAGAACTGGAGGAAACTGAGACCCCAAATCCATACCAAGAATCAACGAAACCAAAAGTTGGTTCTTTGAAACGATAAACATGGATAGACCACTGGTTAGATTAACAAAGGAAAAAAGTGAGAAGATCCAGATATTACAACCAATTCCATAGAAACACAAAAGATCCTCAGAGACTACTAAGAATATCTCTATGCCCATAAAACTAGGAAATCTAGAGGAAATGGATAAATTCCTGGAAACATACAACCTCCCAAGATTGTCTCAAGAAGAAATTGAAACCCTAAACAGACCAGTATCAGATCCAAAACTGAATCAATAATAAAAACCCTACCAATCAAAAAAAAAAAAAAACCCTGGACCAGATGGATTCACTACCAAATTCTAACAGACGCATAAAGAAGAACTGGTGCCAATTCTACTAAAACTATTCCAGAAAAACAAGGAGGAGGAACACCTCCCTAACTCATTCATCACCCTGATACCAAAACCTGGCAAAAATACAACAAAAAAAGAAAACTTCAGTCTAATATCCCTGATGAACATAGACACAAAAATCGTCAACAAAATACTAGCAAATCAAATTTGGCAACGTATCAAAAAGTTAATTGCCATGATCAAGTAGCCTTCATTCCTGGGATGAAAGGTTGATCCAACATACATAAATCAATAAATGTGATTCATCACATAAACTAAGTCAAGAGCAAAAATCATATAATCATCTCAATCAAGACAGAAAAAGCTTTTGATAAAATCCAATATCCCTTTGTTAAAAAAAAAAACCCTCAAGAAACTAAGCAGCAAAAGAAACATACCTCAAAATAATAAGAGCCATCTATGACAAACCCATAGTCAACATTATACTGAATGGACAAATGCTGGAAAAATTCCCCTTAAAAACTGGAGTAAGACAAGTATGTCTACTCTCACCACTCTACTCAACATAGTAACAGAAGTCCTAGCCAGAGCAATCATGCAAGAGAAAGAAATGAAAGGTATCCATATAGGACAGAAGGAAGTCAAACTACTTCTTTTTAATGATGATATGATGCTATACCTAGAAAACCCTAAAGACTCCACGAAAAGACTCCCAGAACTGATAAGTGATTTAAGTAAAGTTTCAAGACACAAAATCAAAGTACAAAAACCAGTTGCACTTCTATACACTAATAATGTTTAAGCTGAGAGTGAAACCAAGAACAATCTGATTCAAAATAGCCACACAGAAAAAGAAATATCTAGGACTACATCTAATCAAGGAGGTGAAGGATCTCCTCAAGGAGAACTACCAAACACCGCTGAAAGAAATCGTAAATGATACAAATGAAAAACATCCCATGCTCATGGATTGGAGAGTAAGTATCATTAAAAAGGCCATACTGCCCAAAGCAATCTACAGAGTCAATGCTATTCCTACCAAACTACCAATGTCATTCTTCACAAAATTAGGAGAAAAAAACTATTCTAAAGTTCATATGGAACCAAAACAGAGCCCAAACAGTGAAAGCTATCCTAAGCAAAAAGAATAAAGCAAGATGCATCAAATTACTCGACTTTAAACAATAGTATAAAGCTATAGTAACCAAAACAGCATGATACCGATACAAAAACAGACACATAAACCAACAGAACAGAAAAGACAACTCAGAAATAAAGCCACATACCTTCAACCAAGTTAACAAAAACATACACTGGAGAAAGGACACCCTATTCAATAAATGGTGCTGGAAAAACTATATTGCTATACGCAGGATGAAACTGGACCCCTATCTCTCACCACATATAAAAATTAACTCAAGATGGACTTAAATGTAAACTCTAAAACTATAAAAATTCTAAAAGAAAATCTAGGAAAAAATCCTCTAGACATTGATCTAAGCAAAGAATTCATGACTAAGACCCCCAAAGCAAATGCAACAAAAACAAAAATAGACAAATGGGACCATATAAACTAAAAAGCTTTGGCACGGTAAAAGAAGTAATCAATACAATGAACAGCTAGTCTGCAGAATGGGAGAAAATATTTGCAAACTATGTATCTGACAGAGGTCTAATATCCAGTATCTATAAGGAATAAAAAATTCAACAAACAAAAAACCCCATTAAAAAGTGAGTAAAGACACGAACAGTCACTTCTCAAAAGAAGACATACAAGCAGCCAACAAACAAAAAATGCTCTTATCACTAATCATCAGAGAAATGAAAATCAAAACCACAATGAGATACCATCTCACATCAGTCAGAATGGCTATTATTAAAAAGTGAAAAATTAGCAGATGCTGTTGAGGTTGCAGAGAAAGGGGAAAACTTATACACTGTTGATGATAATGTAAATTAGCCACTGTGGAAAGCAACTTTGAGATTTCTCAAGTAACTTGAAACAGAGCTACCATTCGATGCAGCGATCCCATTACTAGGTATACATCCAAAAGAAAATAAATCATTCTACCAAAAAAGACATATGCACACATATGTTCACCACAGCACTATTCACAATAGCAAAAACATGGAATCAACCTAAATGCCCATCAACAGTGGATTGAATAAACAAAATGTGTCCATAAATGCCATGGAATACTACACAGTCATAAAAAAGAATGAAATCATGTCCTCCACAGCAACACAGATGCGGCTGGAGGCCATTATCCTAAGTGAACTAACACAGAAACAGAAAACCAAATACCATATGTTTTCACTTATAAGTTGGAGCTAAACACTGGGTACACATGGACATAAAGATGGGAACAAAAGACACTGGGGACTATGAGTGAGGAGGAAGAAAGGGGGGCAATGGTTGAAAAACTACCTATTGGGCACTACGCTCACGACCTGGGTGGCAGCATCAATGATACCCTAAACCTCACCATCACACATAATATCCATTTAACAAGCCTACACATTAGTACCCCCGAATCTACAATAAATGTTTATTTTTTTAAAAAAGGAAATGAGGTATTAAACCATGAAAAGATGTGAATAAACCTTAAATCCATATTACTAAGTGAAGGAACCCAATCTAAAAAGCCTACATACTGTATGTTTCCAACTATATGACATTCTGGAAAAGAAAAAAAAATCTATAGAGATAGTATAAAAATCAGTGGCTGCCAGGGGTTGGGTGTAGGTAGGAAATGGATGAATATGCAGAGCACAGAGGATTTTTAGGATGATGAAACTACTCCATATGATACTATAATGGTGGACACATGTAAGTATACATTTGTTAAAACCCTTATACCGTAGAACACCAAGAGTGAACCCTAATGTAACACTATCAAACTCTGGTCAATAGGGATATGTCAGTGTAGGACTGTATATAGTATTCAATGCCTATTTTAGAAAACAAAGTCTCAGTCAATGACCTAAGCTCAGGCTACATTCTGTCACAGTCCCAGTGAACTGGTGCATAGATGTAAGCACCTGATAGTGTTACTGTTTCTTGCCATAGTAGTTTCACCTGGTTGTTTATATTCTGAAATAGCTATCATTACATTATACATTCCTTTTCTTTTATTCCTCAGTTACATTACAGTTAGCTCAATATACTGATTTTTTTTTTAATTTAGTGTAACAGCAAGTAATGTTATCTATGAATTTAATTTCAGAATTCTAGAGTGGGCATTACAGGGTATGTGCTACTTGATAAGAGTTGAAAAACATCTTAAACCAGAAAAAGAAGAGCTAATAAAATCCTAAATTAGCAGAAGAGGAGAAATAATAAAGATCAGAACAGAAATCAATTAACTAGAAAGCAGACACACAACAGGCAAAATCAATAAAACAAAAACCTGACTCTTTAACACCAAGAAAACCAAGAAACCTTTAGCTATAACAATCAGTTAAAAAACAGATATCTGATAATTACAGAAATCACCAGTATCAGAATAGAAAAATAGATATTGATAATTACAGAAATAGAAAATAGAAATTGAAAAGTAGATATTAATAATTACAGAAATTATCAATATCAGAAATGAAAGAGATTATCTTATTAGAGTTACAGATATTAATAGGATAAAAAGGAGTATTATTAACAACTTCACACAAATAAATCCAACAACTTAGATGAACAAATTCCTTGAAAGTCAGAAATTAAAAAGCTCACTCAAGAATAAATAGATCACCTAAAGAGGCCTATATATATTTTTAAAAAGTAAGTCTGCAGTTAAAAACCTTCCCATAACAGAAGACTCAAGGCTTAGGTGGCTTCTCTGGTGAACTGTACCAAACGTGCTGGGGGGAAATAGGGGAGGGACGGTGGGAGGTGGGGAGCTGGGGAGAGATAGCAAGGGGAGAGATGCCAGATGTAAGTGATGGGGAGGAAGGCAGCAAATCACACTGCCACGTGTGTACCTATGCAACAATCTTGCATGTTCTTCACATGTACCCCAAATCCTAAAATGCAATAAAATAAATAAATGGGAAAAAAAAAGAAAAAAGAAAGAAAGAATACCAACTTCATATAAACTCTCACAAAATTCAAGAGGAGGGAATACTTTCTAATTCATTCTCTCAGACCAGTATCATACTGATACTAAAACTAAAAAGAGGCATGAAAAGAAAATAAAACAAACCAGCATCCCTAATGAATACACACATGAAAAGTCTTAACAAATTTTTAGCAAATTCAATCCAACAATATAGTAAAAGGATAATCCATCATGAACAAATAGAGTTTACCTCATAAATGTAAGGTTGGTTTAACATGTGATTCATCATGTAAACAAACTTTAAAAAGTTTAAAGTCATATGATCATATCTGTAGATAAAGAAAAAGCATTTTCCTGGAAAAATTCCAGCAATCATTCCTTCTAAACTTTCTCAGCAAACTAGGAATAAAAAAGAAGTTCCTCACCCAGACAAAATCATCTAACATCATACTTACTGGCAAAAGACAGAATGCTCTTCCCTTGAAATCACCCTAAATGCTTTCCCTTGAGATCACCCACAAGGCAAAGATATTCATTCTCATTACTTCTATTCCACAGTATACTAGAAGTTCTAGTCAGTGAAACAAGGCAAGAAAAAGAAATAAAAGCCATCCAGTTTGGAAAGGAACAAGTAAAACTGTCTTTATTCATAGACATGGTCATCTACATAAACATTTCTTTAGAATCTACAAAATAAGCTACTAGAACTAAAGAATGCATTTAGCAAGGTTGCAGCATACAAGATAATGTACAAAACATAACTGTATTCCTATATAATATCAATGAGCCACTAAAAATTTATATTTAAAATTTCTAATAACATTAAAAATTATGCAATGCTTAGGGATATATCTGATAAAATGCCTAAGATTTGTACACTGAAAACTACAAAATATATCTGAGGAAAATTAAAGAAGACCTAAATAGAAATATACAGTAGGTTCATGGATTAGTAGACTCAATAATATTAAAATGTCAACTTTCTCCAGTTTATCTACGGGTGTCTTTTTCTAACACAGTCCTATTCAAAATTCTACCAGGCTGTTTTGTAGAAATTGATAAACTGAAGCTAAAATTCACATAGGCAAAGGATCTAGAAAAGTGAATGAATCTGAAAAGGAATAAAATTTACAGACTTGCACTTCAAAAATGGTTACAAACCAACAGTAATCAAGACAGTTTGGTACTGGCAACAAGGCCGGCAACAAGGCAGACAAATAGATCAATGGAACAGGACAAAATTCAAAAATAAAACCATAAATATATAATTAATTGTTTTTATACAAAAGGACAAAGGCATTTAAGAGAAAGGTTAGTATTTTTTTTTTCAAAAAATGAGGCTGAAACAATTAGATATCCATTGTAAGTAAACTTTGACATATATCTCACATCATATACAAAAATTAACTCAAAATGTCTTCCTTAGGGAATGCTTATGCACTGTCGATGGGACTGTTAATTAGTTCAGTCTCTGTGGAAAGCAGTCTGGAGATTTCTCAAAGAACTAAAAACAGAACTACCATTCAACCCAGCAATCTCATTACTGGGTATATGCACAAAGGAAAACAAACTGTTCTACCATAAAGATACATGCACCTATATGTTTATCCCAGTGCTATTCACAATAGCAAAGAATCAACTAGGTGCCCATCAACAATTGACAGGATAAAGAAAATGTGGTACATATATGTCACGGAATACTGTGCAGCCACAAAAGAGATGAAATCATGTCCTTTGCAGCAATATGGATGTAGCTGGAGGCCATTATCCTAAGTGAATTAACGAAGAAAAAGAAAATAAATATCACGTGTTCTCACTGAGTACACAGACATAAAGATGGAAACTATAGATGTGGGGACTCTAAAAGAGAAGAGAAAGGGAGGGAGACAAGAGTTGAATAACTATTGAGTACTTCGTTTACTCTTTGTGTGATGGGTCCAACAGAAGCCCAAATTTCAGTATCACA